TGTACTCCAGCTTAAAGGTTGACAGAAACATACAGCCTTGATTTGTAGCCTCCTTCTTTGATATTGTACATCCATGTTATGGTTAATTGACACCCATCAAAACAAGGTATCCGCTAACCAGTATCACGTGGCCATAGCGCGGGCTCAAGTTTAGAGCTCACCGAGGTCACGCTTTTTTTAAAGTTGACCGCTGACCAAGTGCTGGTTTTTTATTGGATCACGGGCTCATGTCAGATTAACTTGTTGTAAACGGGACCAGGTTGTTCAAAAGCTGGTTAATGCTGACCCAGGATGAAAGTTAACGGAAGTATAAATAGTTCTTGTATACAGATATTTTACTGCTTTTGTTTAGTGTATTTTGAGATTATTCAAACTCAAAACAGAAGGCCAAACAATCTACAGAAAACCTCGCTGCAAAGTTGCAAAATTTAAATCAAAGTTCTCGCTTAACCTGGGTTATCTTAATCAGGCTTTGAACAGCTGGGTCCAGGAGCTCCGCTTTTAGGCATGGCTAAATCTATACACCTATATTACCCTTTTAATTTAGGTGAGAAATCCTAAAAATGATAAGAGATGGACAGAAAATTTTTGTTCTTTAGCAACGTAGTTCTCTCTGTGGTTGTTCCTAAACCCTTACTATTAATACTGTAGCGGGGAAATAATTTTCTGCTACTCTTCCCTTTTCACACCGGTCCCCTCGTGTACGTCACTGTCCGAGAGGAAATTGGATACCACTGTTGTGGAATGCTAGTGCCATTCTTCCAAGTGGAAATCGCAGTAATACAATGTTTAGCTGAACGGTTTACAATGTAAGATGTAGTTCACTCGCAAAACATCGTTTTACGGCTGGCCAATGATGACTTCTATCCAGGAGCTGGAACATTCGGCCTCTATAGTGATGGTGAGTGTTTGCATGTTTCTTTTTAAACCATTCAAAATCAATGAACGCATAAACCGGTTTCACGTGTGTCTTTCCTAGGCGCCGCCATCTTTGGTGACGCAAGAACAGCGCCAAGCCGCCGAACAAGTGTTCCTGAGTTTTAGAAGATCTAAGTCGCCTTATGCAGCATGCAAGCACATCTTAGGTAATAATTTAGAGTATAACAATACCCTTCTCATACAATGTCTTTGATCGATTCAGTCAGAACAAACTATGGTTAACACAATCCTCGATGAAAATCAATGATCAGGGGTTAATCGCCAGCAATTAACAATCAATAAAAGTCGATCGTGTAATTAACAGTCACGGTTCTCTTCTTCATCGATTGGTCTCGTTTAACTTTTCCTAATATTACTTGGCATTGACTGTTGACATTGATTTTTGGCAGTTCATGTTGTCATCAATATATTTATCAGTTTCATTTTTAATTGGTTTGTGCTGGAACATAGGGTGATTCCAGAAAATATCCATACCTATGCTACGGGCAGCTCTTTGGAATTCCGTGGGCAAGGGGGTTCTTTTGAACTGGAAATCCAAAGG